CCTACTCCTCCCTGCATTTTCAGTGGTCACTGCTCTTGCAGCCTCTTCTCATCTCACTCCCCCCACTTATCTGCACCTCCTTTTCTTCCCATTACTACTCCTCCTTTTCCTCATCTGCCTTTTTCTCCATATTACACCTCTCCTCTCATTCACTCTACTCTTTTTGTTTCCTCACTCCTCCTGCTTCTGCTCCTTCTTCTCCTCCTCACTTCCTCTATTATCCCACAACCACTCGTCCTACTCCTCCTGCTCCTCCCGCTACTGTCCCTCCTCCTGCTCCACAACTCGCTCACCATTATCCCACAGCTCCTCATATAACTCCTCATCCTCCTGCACACCTCCCTCCATTTAAAATGGTCACTGCTCTTGTAGCCCCTTCTTCCCACTCCCCCAACTGATCCACACCACCTTTTCATCCCACCACTGCTCCTTCCGCACCTCATCTCCCTTATTATTACACCACTTCTCCTCCCATTCACCATGCTCTTTCTGCCTCCCAACTCCTCTTGCTTCGGCTATTCCTTCTTCTCCTCACAAATTATCCCACCCCCACTCGCTCCGCTCCTCCTGTGTCTCCTAGTACTATTGGTTCCCACCTCCTTCATTAAACAATGGCACTCCTCCTCCACCTCCTCCAGACCCCACTCATTATCCCAGTGTTGCTTTTCTTGCAATTGCTCCTGCTCCTCATGTCCCTCATTATCCCATCATTGCTCCTCCTGATCCTCCCGCAGACACGCACACTTCCTGTCACATTCAACTTTTCAATTCCAGAAACCACAGCTTGTTGCCATGGCAACAGCCACAGTGGGGTGGGAAAAGATTCTGCCGCATTGCTGGACATGGCATGAGCTTTATATATATATATATATATATATATATGTTTGTGTGTGTGTGTGTGTATGTGTGCTTAAATCATGCATGAACGTGATGCGTGTGTGATGTGTGTGTGAATGATACATGAGATCTTAACACACATCAGCAGTGACTGGACCCTCTCATACAGGAAACTGACACTGTATTGATACGCTGCACATCTTCAAGTACGCTGCACTTGTGTGAGCTCATGAAAGAGGAGAAGGTGCCTGTGGGCCGCTGCATGTCAAGCTGAAGTGATGATCACAACACGCTTACTTTGGTAATCTGACTTATTTGAGCGAAACGACAGTGAGGGGAAAACTCTGCAAGGCAAGCTCTGGTTCTAGTTATTCAGTCTCATGAATAAAACACAAAAGATGCTGACACAAAAGAACTGCTTTTGTCCATACACCAAAGGTCAATGGAGTTAGAAAAAAATCTATAAAGAATTATAATAATTTATGGAGATCTATTGCGACTGTCATACAGTAGTTGCATTTTGTTGCATTATTTCTTTCAAAACAAGTGAAGACTTTTATAAATATCAAAAAAAAGTAACTTTACTTAAATATTCGACACTATTGCTATATATTTTTACTTTGTAGATATGCAAAAATATAAAATATAATTTCTATAAAATATACAAACATACAAATTAAAAGAGGATGCTATGCACTTTACGGGGTGCGCCATTCACGCTGGAATCCTGCTTCGCTCTTTACTCATGTTGTCTCTGTCATTCAGGCATTGATGGGTGTAAACCGTAAATTAAGCTTATTCCAACAAGGTGCGCTATTTGCACTTAGCCTGAAAAGACACTCCGAAATTGGCTTTTTTTTTTCTCCCCTCGCAGGTGCCCCAAGTGCGAACGGGCCCCTGGGCCTGTGCCCATAAAGCCTGGTTTATACTTCTGCGTCAAGTGACCGGCATAACCATCGGCGCATGCAACGCGCGTAGCTGTGCATTCATACTTCTGCACGCTGTCTCTGTTGGTCTGCATTAACACTTCCGAAACGCTAGTTGGCAGTGAGGTGTTAATGCTCCTCTGTGTCGAGTTTCTTCGCAGCTGTTTTGCTTTTCCTGAACACTTCCTCCACACTTATAAACAATCGCTACATTGGGTTTGCGCCAATCGCACGGCTCTCGGTCCCGCCCAGACTCGTTAGCGCTACCAAGCCAACCAATCACAGAGCTTGCGCTACGCGTCGTTGCGACGTGTAGTTACATTTTTTGAGAGGTGAACGTTAGTGACGCCGACGGCCACGGCGAAGGGCTATGCGTCAACGCCGTAGCATACGCGTGCGTTCAACGCAGAAGTATAAATCAGCCTTAAGCCTCATTGGTTAATCCGGCCCTGCACAAATGAATTTGCTATTTAAACCACGTGGCGCAAAACGGGAAAACAAAGGTTACGTTGATCTGAAAATAGCAAACAATCAAGCCAAACACGTCTTGTGCCGGGTGTATGATAGGGCCATGAAACCCCCCTGTTTCAGCAGGGTTTTTTCACACCTCCACTTTGGATAATGTGCATGTGCATAAAAATGGGAGTGTAGGTTTGGGCACACGCTAATTTTCACAGAGGCAAAACAAACACACAGACGCAAGGGAGAAAGACAGTGACTGTGTTTACATGGACATCAGTAATCAAATTATTTGACAAATTATTAAATGGTGGACTTTAACTACAGTTTGGCTCTTTCATTCAGGAGTTTTATTCATGCCGCTCATGACAAACGAGCAATTTGATTCGAGGAGCTGCTGTAAGCGTGTATTTTTCATGCAATGTTTGTTACCGCACGGCGAATGAGAGAAAAAACCCTCCGCATTTCTCTGTAACTTAGATGCACTTGGTAGGTAGTGTCAGAAAGCCGTGTGTGTTATTCCGGTCATAAAATCTAGCGAAAATCCTACACGACGGTACGATTGATTGTGGTGCAAACATGTTTACACTCGGAGAGCAGCATTTCATATTTATTTCATATTTTTTTCATATTTTTAGGGATATTTCAGCCCATAACATTGTAGTGATATTAACGTACTGTAATCTTTAGTAACTTAGAAATAATTTGACTAAGGTCCGTCTTTAAACACTGAAAGAGTACTGCTGACGATACAAACTAACTTTGCCTCTGAATAAACAAACAAAGACCACTGATCGCTCACTTACCAAATCTGTAGAGACAGTACAATCAACACCAACTGGAGCCGCGTCTATTTAAAAAGGAAACAAGCAGAAAATATGGATCCGGAAAAGCTCTCGGTTTAAAAATGTTCAGTAGACACGTATTGCTGTCGCGTGCACTGTAATCCACACATGAGTCCAGCTGCACTCTCATAGCGGGAAATGAAAACAAAACCTTCACTGCAGCAAATTATAAATGTAACACTGAAGACCCGTATCTGCAAACAATTCTTGTTCTCCCGCTTGTTTTGGCAACACAATGTGGCGTTTCTCTGCCGTCTGAACAATGTACAGGTAAAAACAGTCTTCGAAGCTATCATGCATATTAATGAGGTTGCACCGTATACATAATAAAGTGCGCTGATTGGTTTGAACCAAGTTGTCACATCCGTCAGTGACCACCTGAGGGCGCTCTAGTGCACCAGGACTCAGTTGGCACTACAGCATCCCAGAAAAACTACATTTCCATACACACCACGCACATACACCGGAACATATACACTGACCTGTCATCACATCTGTTTTGTGTTACTGTTGATTATCTGGACTATCAATACAACCATTCCACCTCTGTTTTGCATCGCGTCATTTGTCTACTTTGTCTTCCTTGTCGTTCTTGTTCCCAGTTCTAGTAAGTCTTGCTACCGAGTTTCTTGATCTTGTTCTTGTATATTTTGCTAAAGTCTAGTTTGTAGAGTTATTGTTTCTGAGCCATGTCTCTGTTTTAGTTTCTAGTTTTGTCGTTTGTTTGTTACTTTGTATTGTGATCATCTTGTTTGTTGCACTGTAAATAAATATCTGCACCTGGATCCGCACCTTTTTGTTTTTGTTCTGCTTTGATCACACAAACGTGACACAAGTCTTACTCTTGAATGAATGCAGCACACTCCGAGACGTCACAAAGTACTCCCAGGTACAGACGTCCAGTCTACACGCTGGAATATACGCTAAGATCTCATGGCCGTGACGCAGCTTCAAAAATTCGTTTCAAACCGGAAGAACGAATTTGCTCAAACGAATGCAAAAACAAATAGTTTTCACTTTTTAGTGAATTATATGTGTCCTAATAGTGTTTTTAGCAGTGTGGGACACATATACAACTGTCAACAGCTCAAAACATGTGTTTCGGTGATCCTTTAAGTAACTGTAATCAAATTACGCAAATTTAAAACGTAACTTGCTATATTACTGCATTCGCCAAAAATGTAAATAGAATACAGCAACGAGTTAATGTGGAAAGCCTTACACCCAACTCAGCACATCATCTACTAAATCAATAAATTAAATGACTAAATATGTAGTAATCAGTTAGTAAAAGTCTTTAAAAATAAAGATACAAAAATACACAAAAGAAAAAAGAAAACAAACAAAAAAACTTACCTAAAACTGAGAAAGACAACTTAAAAGAAAAGTTGCACTGCCAAAAGATAAGTAAACGATCACTCTTTTCTGGTACACCAAGTGAAAATATCAAAGGCATGTAAGAATCAGAACTCCTGCCTGTCACAGAAAACAACATCACGTCTGGAACACTGTGTGCTCACCAAACTTCATAATAACACGACCTGAAACAGGAATTAATAGAGTCAGCTCTGAGGTTTACATTCAATTCACCAGGGCTCAGGTATGCCGTAATGTCACAACAGCACCCGCTCACCGTCTCAGTCACACTCTGCTCTAAACGGTCAATTTGCCATCTGTCTGTGTGGATATACAGACGCTCCAGATGGACACCGTTTGGCCTGGATATCCCAGCAGGCCGTGCGCTGATGACACGAGCAGTATAGCAACATCAGGGCTGGGATATTCTCATTCAGGCCGATCCCATTCTCTATTGATCCCACTATCTCATCAAGCACGTTTCCTCCAAGATGCAGTTTCCAGCACAGCAACAGCAGGGTTCGAGCACTTTGTTCCAGACACGCGGCGGCACAATTGATCTCAGCCTTTTACCTCGATGCTCTGACAGCTAACATAGGTTATCACAATAAATACATAAATAGATAAATAAATAAACCCTCAAAATTAGCTTGGATTGGTGCCAGGAAATTAATTAAATCCATTTTATTGTAATAAGTACGTAAGTGAGTAAGTGACTAAGTGAGTGAGTAAGTGAGTGAGTGAGTAGGTGACTGAGTAAGTGAGTGAGTGAGTGAGTGAGTGGAGTAAGTAGTAAGTGAGTAGGTGACTAAGTAGGTGATTAAGTGAGTAAGTGAGTGAGTAGGTGACTAAGTGAGTAAGTAAGTGAGTAAATAAATAAACCCTCAAAATTTTCTTAGAGTGGTGCACTGAAAAAAAAATGTTCAAAGATGATTCCTTGGATTTACTAATTTCTTTTTTATTATAAGTGGTTGTAAACAATTTATTTGGCCTGAATTTAAACAAACAAATTAAGTAGAACATTATTAAACTTAATTTGTTTGTTTAAATTCAACACAAATAAATAGTTTGCAACAATTCTGCATGCTGTCAGGAATTTTTAAATTTTTTTTCTCCTAATTTTAACCATGGGTTATTATAGAATTAATTAGCCCCCCCAACCCCCCCCCCTCCCCCCAACCCCTAAATTCATTTTAAGTGGTCAGGAATTAAAAAAAAAAAACAATTCTTTTTTTAGAAATAGGTTACTTTAACATTGAATAAATAAATAAATGAATAAATAAATAAATAATTAAATGAATAAATAAATAAATAAATAAATAAATAAATAAATAAATAAATAAATAAATAAATAAATAAATAAAATAAAATACTTGGAGTGGTAACTAGATTTTTAAAAATATTTTTCCCTTTTTTTAGCCATAG